AGAGGGAGAAATAAAGAGAGAGGAAGGGAGAGACAGGGAGGGAGAAAGAGAGAAGGGTGGAGGAGGGGGAGAAAGATAAGGGAGGGATGGAGGGAGAGAAAGAGTGGAAGAGGGAAGAGGGAGGGGAGAAAGAGTGGAAGAGAGGGAGGAGGGAGAGAAAGAGTGGAAGAGAGAGAGGGAGGGGGAAGAGTGGAAGAGGGAGGGAGGGATGGAGAGAAAGAGTGGAAGAGGAAGGAGAAGAGGAGAGAGAGGGAGGGAGGGAGGAGAGAGAAAGAGGAGGAGGGAGGATGGAGAGAAAGAGTGGAGAGGGAGGGAGAGAAAGAGTGGAGATGAGGGAGGAAGAGGGATGGCGGGAGGAAGAGGGAGAGAATGAGTGAAGAGAGAGAGGGAGAGTTAGAGAGGACGAGGGACAGAGGGAGATAGAGAGAGGATGGGGTAGGGAGGGAGAGAGAGGGAGGAGAGAGAGAAAGAGTGGGAAGAGGGAGAGAGAGAGAGAGGGAGTGAGGGAGAGAGAGGGAGAGAGAGGAGAGGAGGGAGGAATGGAGGAGAGAAGAAGAGAAAGAAGAAAAAAGAAAGAAAGGGGGAGAAAGAGTGGAAGAAGGAGAGAGGGAGGGAGCAAAAGAGAGGGAGAGGAAGAGGGACAAAGGGAGACAGAGAAAGGAGTGAGTAGGGAGGGGGAGAAAGAGAGAGAATTCAAACAACAGGGAGAAGAGGGGGGGGGGGGGAGAAATGAGGAAGGGAGAGATAGAGAGGGAGAGAGATTGATGAAAGAGAGGAAGTGTTAGGATTGGTTTTTGTTCTCCCCCCTCCTTTTTTGTTGCAGACTTGAGTGTGGCAAGGGTGAGGTGGTCTTCCAGAGGACAATGGATCCCGCAGAAGTCGAACAGCATTACTTTCAAGAGCTCGTGTGGGACAGCAAGAGAAACGTAAAGGAGATTTGGACTCCCTGCAAACTCTCACTAGTTGTGTCTCAGCTCAGCAGCCATCTTTCATGTTGCTTCTACCTTTCGGCTCAGCTTCAGCTCCAGCACCTACACCAGCTCCAGCTCCACCTGTTCCTGCATTTCCAGGTCCATTTTGCCCAGTCCGTGATCCATTCATCCCAACACCTGCAGTATTCTGAAGAATTAGGGACAGTAGACAATTTTTAATCAATGTATGTTAGTTTTTGACCAACAGCCGCTAACTTACGCTACTGATAAAGCCAAAGTAGCTTTCATTATGAGTTTACTTTCCGACAAGGTGTCAGCTTGGGCAGTGGCTTTAGCTAATAGCTACGATTCCATTTGCAACTCATTACATACATTTACTGCTGAAATGCGTAAGGTTTTCGATCATCCTCTTCAAAGTAAAGAAGCCAGTAACAGGCTTCTATCTCTACGTCAAGGTTCTGACTCAGTTTCTTCTTACTCCATTGATTTCCGTATCTTGGCCGTAGAATGTGGGTGGGATGAGAAGGCTTTGCAAGGGGTGTTCTTCTGGGGTTTAAGTGAAGAGATTAAAGATGAACTAGCTGCCCGTGATGAAACCACCTCTTTGGAAAAGCTTATTTTCTCTAGCTATCTGTTTAGATAAAGGGAAGGGATAAAGGGAAAGGCGTAGGGAGAGAGCAGCTAGGCAAAGTTTCCCTTTTTCACACTCTAGAGCTGCCCAAAAGCCAGCTCTCTCCACCCTTCCACGAGTGACGACACCTGAAGTCCCAGCTTCCACCACCTCCTCCTCCAACATCGAGGAACCCATGCAGTTGGGGAGATTGTGCTGTAATATGCTGTACGGCCGCTCGTAACCAGAGACTTGCTGATCGCCATCGTTCTCCTGCTCCTGACTATGTGCCTGGCCAAGAGGTTTGGCTCTCGACCCGTGACTTACCTCTTCAGACTGAGTCCTGCAAACTGGCACCCAGGTATATCGGTCCTTTTGTCATTGAGCGCATAATCAATCCCACCATTGTTAAACTGAAGCTGCCCCCGTCTTTGAATGTCCACCCTGCCTTTCATGTGTCTCTCCTTAAACCTGTTTCCACGAGTCCCCTGAGCCCTCCAGCCGAACCCCCTCTACCCCCCTGGATTGTTGACAACCATCCTGCCTTCACTGTTCGGCGTTTGCTGGATGTCCGGAGACGGGGCCGCGGCTTCCAGTATCTGGTAGACTGGGAGGGGTATGGTCCTGAGGAGCGATCGTGGATCTCCCGCTCCCTTATTCTGGACCCACAGCTACTCACTGACTTCTATACTCTCCATCTGGACAAGCCTGGTAGGACGCCAGGGGGCGTCTGTTGAGGGGGGGGGTACTGTTAGGATTTGGTTTTTGTTCTCTCCCCCTCCCTTTTTTGTTGCAGAGCTTGAGTGTGGCAGGGGCGTGGCTGGCTCTTCCAGAGCAGATGAGACACACCTGCAATCAATTCCTCCATCAGCCTCTGTATTTAGCCCTGGTCTTCTCACCACCACTTTGCCAGATAATTCCGTCCTGTTCGGTGTCTCTGTGGTTGTCTGCTGTTGCCTCTGGAGAAGCCGGCCAGCTCCCTGCCTCCTCAGCCTGCCCTCTGTTTGTAAAATAAACTGTTTAAAACTTGACTGACTCCTGGCTCTGCTTTTGGGTCCCTCTTGCCAGACCTTAACAGGAAGAGAAAGATAACACTAGATCCATTCTTCTTTTTACACTTCTAAATTGTGTATTTGGTGTTTTAAAGGCATTATGTACAATTTCGAGTCTTTTTTTTTTGGAGGGGGGGGCAACTTCACTGGTCAGTTTGCAGTTTTCGAGTCAAAAACGTGAAAATCTAAAATCCATATGTGTGTGGAGATGTTATTGCATTCCCTGGAATGTTCCATGGTGTGACTTTAAACATATCCATCCCCACATTTATTCATTACAGCTGTTTCTATTACTCAAAAAGACAATAATTCCTTCTGCGAATAGAGGCGCCTCTCCACAGATCTGACCTGTAACATAGCGTAGTGCTTTAACCTGCTCGCCTCCCTCATGATAGACATGTTTTTACTGTGGAACATTCTACAAAAAGCAATAACATTCCAGGGAAAAAACGATAAGATGACGAAGAATCTGTATTATGTATTAAAAATGATGAATGGGAATCGCTGGTTTTTCCATTTTAATCTGTTTTTACACCTACAGTATCTCTCACTCACAGCTCATGACGCCAGGTTTCTTCTGGCATGCCCCTGGGGGATGACAGATGTATTACGTATAATAGGCAGCTGATACGGACGGCCTTTACCAAACTAAAGCCTGGGTTCCATTTAAATTAGTCTGTAAAATTATCGCAATATTGGTACCATATGGTTAAACTTAAATGTGCATTGTGTAACTTTTCCGATGGTGGGTCCGTCAAATCTTTTTCTCCATGGAGATGTTCTTCCTTCGTCTGGAATGTTCCACAGTATGGTATTAAACCTTTCTAACTTCACGGAGATCAAGCTAGACCAAGTTACAAGTCAGATCTGTGGAGAGAGACGACCCCGCTCACAGTCAGAATGCCTGTTTTGGGGTATTTTTGAGCTATAAAACCACCTGTAATTGGATATATCAAAGGTAGAGCTGTTTAATGTCACACTCTGGACAATGGCATATCTATAAAATCAAGCAGGTGACAGACGCCTAACCAAAAAGTTACACAATGCATCTTTAATAATAGTAGTGGTAGAGTGAACTGATTTTTGTCTCTCCAAAAGCTTTTGTAGGTACTATGACTATGTAAAACGACATGTAGCGTACATAATTTTAAGTAGTCTACACGATTAGACCCAAGTGTTTAGTAATTTATTGATAAAACAAAACAAAACAAGGACATGGTATTCTAAAGAATTTTATTTTATATGACAAATTTCTTGTGCTATTTATCTATGGATTGAAGGCTGGAACCACCATTTTAAAATGCTTATAAATAAAGTACATATTGTTTATCTAGCAGCTAAATCTTTAATTAATATGCTATTTATTTAGGCAGTTTACCCTACAGTGAGCTATAATTGTTTTCTTTTTAAAATACAACATACATAGGCTACAACAATAAACATATTTGTTTATTTAATATGCAGTGTTTTTTATTTATTTATTTCGTTTGGTTTACTTGTATAGAACTGATTTGATCCCTTTAGACTTTACTTTACATTATACTTTATTTAGCCAGACCTAACCTGAATGTGTTGATGTTTAGCACGTCTGATTAGCCTGTTAGCAGTTTACCCTTTACTGCCCCCAAATAAAATATAAATTAATTCGGACCAGGCATCGCAAACACCCATTTAAAATCTCGAAATTGTGTGTTCGGGTTAAGTAGGTAACGGGGCTGGCTTTTGTTCCGCCGCGGAAGATACTGTAAACTTGACCCCGAGAGAGAAAAAGAGGCCGTCGTGTTTTGTTTCTCAGCCGGGAGACGGAGCTGATAAGGCGGCCACAGCTGCTCTTCTGTCCCGCTGCTGTGTGCGCCGGCTCCCGCCCCTCCATGCCTCTTAAACGTGACCTATCCCCGTACATGTGACCCAACTTCGACCAATCAGAGCGCGGCGTTTGCAAAACGTCACCCTTCACGTTTGACAGACCCGAGTGCTGCGTTCATGCGCTAATCGGAATAGACGAATTGCACAGTTTAAATCGCATATTTTGGGGAATAATCAGCAAAAACGCTCGCATTTTAACAATAACAGAAGGAAGATATTTTAAGCTTAACGTATTAGCACGTGTATTTTAACCGAACAATGAAATATCACAGTTAAAACAATACACAGCTTGTTTTTTATGTTGCTACGTCTGTATTTCCTGATTTTAAAATAGCATGTCTCATTATATTATCTATCTGAAAGTCTACATACAGCGTATAATTTACTAAACGACAATATTGTGTTTTGATGGTAAAATACTGACGTTATTCTAGTTTACGTCTCCACTGTTGTTATTTTTACAGTTGAAGCGCGAACGCAACGTCAGAGTAGGCTTGGAAGGCGGGGCATGCGCAGTCAGACTCTTACGAAACAAACTAGTACAGCCGCACAAGGCAAGTCCACCACAAAGACACAAGAGGAGTTCTCCCAACCCAAAGCCAAGGCTCCCTCTTCTCAGCACGCCGAAGAAATGATCCTTTCTTTGGGCTTGACATAAACTACACCTCCCGGGAGCCACTACAAGGTAAGATCGGCTACATTGGTCACGTCTGAAGCTTTATTTTTGGGTATTATTGGCCAAACAGCGCCACCGGTTACATAAGGTGCGCTCTGGTGACCCCATTTTTTGGCTCCACACGTATGCCAGTTATTATTTCCTTTTAAAGATATATGCGGGGTGTTTATATGTAACTAATATTAATAATCAAACGTATAAGGCTGTAATTGAGTTGTAATAGTGAAGTACATGTGGCTGCCTGGTTTCAAGCCCTCAGCCAAAAAAAAGAGACGCACTGACCTAATTTCCATTTCAAGAAGTCATGCGAGGTGCCACTCTAAATATGAGTTTGGAAAATTTTCTTTTTAAATGATTTTTTATGCCTACAATACAAAAATAATAACACATTTCCTACAATAGTTACATGTAATACTATGATCGGTTTACATTGCCAAGATAGGAGTGAATGAACTTATGAACTTAACTTAATGAAGTAAACATCTTGTCACGTTTATGTTTTATTAGGAGAGAAAAAAAAAAAAAAAAAGGTTACAAACTGTTATAATGATCCACATTTGGAAAGCTGTTATATGGTTAGACTAGTGAATATAAGATTCAATAAGACTTAGTGCCACAAGTTGAGATGTTGTAATTACAAGTACCCATAAACTTCTATATAATTATTCAGTTCAGTAGCAGGAATGATGTAATTCACCACTAATTGCTTTAATAATCATTTGCAAGAACCACAAAGAAAATAATAATGTTAAGAAATTGCATTATTAAAGTTAAAAGTTAAAAATGAAAGAGTTAAAAATGAGCTTTTGTCATTCATTGGTGGTGATACTGCTCTATAACAATCCCACAACAACCCACTCAAAATCTTGTAATTTAAAGAGGAATTTTCATTTTTATACCTTTTTTGTATTCGTTTGGTAGTGCGTAAGCTTTTAAGTTAAGACATGTCAAATGGGTGTATAACGCTTTATAAAATAGTAGTTGTTTTTTTTTCCAACTACCTTTTACAAAGCTTGTAACTTTGATTAGTTATTGTCAGGGCTGTTACATATGTAGTGATCTGGCTTATTGCTGTGTCAGTCTTGGTTTGGTCCTGGTTAAATCCTGGTTAAGTTCTGGTTTAGTCCTGCTTTAGACCTGATTTTGTATTTTTAAGCCATAATTTTACCCTTATAACATTGCTCTCCAAAAGCCATAATCATTGCTATAAAACTGTAAATGAACACTGTCTTTAGTCCCAGTTTAAAGTGGCACTGTGTAACTTTTCTGGTGGAGGGTCTGCCACTTTTTTGTCTCCATGGAGATGTTAATGTTTTCCCTAGAAAGGTTCAAAGTATTGCACATAACGTATCCCTGTAGAGACAAGCAGGTGAGTCAGTCCTGGTTCACTCCTGGTTTAATCCTGCCTTGAACATGATTTTTTTTTGTGTGAAATCGTACTTGCAAATGATACTTTTATAATATTGTACTCCGAAAACCACAATAATTGCTAAGAAAACTGTGATGTGAATGAAGTTAGCGGTTCTGTCTATTTTTGCCACTTGTTGTAGTCTCCTCACAGTTGGACCATATGGAGCGACTGGTCTAGCGTGGACTCTCCTCTCGCTGTTGTCCGTGTTTGTGAATCAGTGGTGGTGATGAATCTGTTTGCGTACGTCACAGGTGCAGCCCCATCACTTGGCTGGTCGGGTGGAGCTGCGAGCCAAGGAGAATTTTCCTATGCCTCACTGCAAATCTGCTATTTTGCTGTTAACGCTGGTGATGAATAACAGTTTATTTCAGAACTGAGAACAGATCATTTTGTATTTCTGTTATTGTGAATACCAGAAGGAATAGTTAAAGTAGTTGTGAAAGTAGTAGTAGTGGTGGTAGTAGTAGTTTTTGTTTTTGTAGTAGTAATAGTAGTAGTGGTGAAAACACTGCTATTTTGCTATTAACGCTGATGAGTAACAGCTTGTTTCAGACCTGAGAACAGATCATTTTGTATTACCGTTATCAGTAGTAGTAGGAGTGGGAGTAGGAGTAGTAGAGGTAGTAGTAGTAGAAGCAATAGTAGTAAATAAATCTGCTATTTTTCTATTAACATGGCATGGTTTATTTAAGACCTGATAATTTTATATTAATATTAATATAAGTAGCAGTAGTAGTAATTAGGGGTGGGCGATATCTCGATATTTTAAATATTTATGTTTATGCAAATGAGCCATGCACTTAAGTTTCGTTTCTGTAAAATGTAAACACACGTGCGCAAAACTGCATTAAACACATTATTATCTCAAACGGGTTGATGTGGCTCTAGAGTCGTTATGCTTTATATCTTGTAAAGTTTAGCAATGTAAAGTCTATTTATGCAGAAGATTTTAATTAATCTGTTGCAGTGTCACTTGTACAATAGTGTTTGGAATCATTGGGTTTGATCTGCAGTGGATTGTGGGATTAAACCTCACAGCTCCTTACTGCTGGATAATAACATGGATCTATTGAAATAAGGAACATCCTGAACTTCTTCTGCTGAAGGAGCTCACGGTTATGATTATGGTTTGGATAACAGAGTTAATGCAAAGATGAGCTTGTGTTGAGTTGTTTTATTTATGAATGAAAAGAAAGAAATATGTATTATTTCTTTTATTTTACAGTTAAATTATTATTTATGTAATTAGGTTTTTTTGTAATCTTAAATGTTCCTATAAGAACTGCCGACCTCTTACACTTCAATTTAAAAAAAAAGGACCTTGTGGAATTTGGCATACTTGTTTTTGCAGTTTTCAGTTTTAGGGGGTTATTTTTTCTTGAACATATATCGAGATATATATCGTATATCGAGATATAGCAAAATATATCGAGATATATTTTTTGATCCATATCGCCCAGCCCTAGTAGTAATAGTAGTAATAGTAGTAGCAGTAGTAGCAGTAGTAGTAATGAAAACTGCTATTTTGCTTATTATTTGTATATTATTATAAATTATTATAAATTATTATTATTATTATTAGTAGTAGTAGTAGCAGTAGCAGTAGGACTGATCATTTTGTATTATCACCATTAATAGTTAGTTAGTGGTAGATGTAGTAGTAGTAGTACTAAAGTAGTAGTAGTAAAATTGCCATTTTGCTATGAATGCTGGTGACAGTTTACAGTTACAGTTTCAGACCTGGGAACAGATAATTTTGTTTAAAACAAAGGCACAAAGACAAAGGATGATTTTGTTTATTAATCTAGCAGTTATTCTTAAGATGAATCTTTATAGTGTATATTTACGTCACTTTATTTTTACGCAGTTCTTATGTCATTTTGTGTCAGTCTCTCAGCACATGTCCTGTGGAATTTGTGGAATTCAGAAAGCGTGTATTTAGTTGACGATTATTTCAGTTCTTGGCTCTTATTGGTAAACTTGTTTCAGCTTCACAGAAACATTGTAGTAAGTGAAAATAGGAAAAAAAGAAACTACAAAGACATTTTTATAATTGTTTTATAGTTTCAGATCAGGCATGGTACATTGGTCATCCGTAGTAATAGTTATATCAGAGGATTTCCCCAGAAGTGTAGCCGATACTTGCCACCAATACTTTTTGTCAGCTGTTGTGGAAAAAAATTATATATCTCTTCATGATAAATAATTAATCCATTTGCAAAGCCCGATGAGTTTTTGGAATATAGACCAAGGTTTATTCTTGTTACAGCAGATATGGACAGGGCCAAGGCTTGCCCTGGCCACAGACCAACAGCCTCTTCTCCAGCAGCATGTCTCTACTACATTTTTCCAGTGTCTCTCCCTCAGTATCTGCTCTGGAATATTTGAGCTCTGAGTATTTATACAGAAATACAAGTTACATACATATCAAAGCAGAGTAACTTGTTTCAGAGGCTAATGTTAATCAACTTAACATACATTTTAAGACAATACACACAATACATCGTTTCCTGAGGAGGAGACAGTTGTGTCTGCTGAGTCTGAACATGTTAATGAATGGTTTGGGTCTCAAGTAGAAATCACATTCATTTACACAAAGACAGATTGAGAGAAATCTTTCCACAATATAAATTTCCTTCACACAGCTGTTCATTTAACACCTGTCGGTCTGTCCATAACTGTAGTTCTTTTTTACAGCCTGTACATTAAATTGTTAAGCAGCATTTTCTGTCCTTGTCTTACATGATGCAGTAACATACTCTGCATGGGTTTCTATAAGACAAAATACAGTTTTTATTAACCTCACTAATAAAAACAACAACATGAATCTTAATGGAAAATTAAGAACAAATTGCTCTATTAAAAAGTTATAATTCAATTAACAGAATAATTGAAAAAACAGTCGATAGATTACTCAATGAATCAAAAAATTTGCTGTTAGTTTAATCTTTCGTTACAGCCCTTGTCTGTACTAAGGACTTAAGGTCATTATCATCAAAATGTCAAATATCGGCTCAAAAAAAATCCATATCTCCACAAGGAACCAAGCTGATCTTTGCACTGGTCCTACTGGTGGTTTTTCAGATTTTACGATGTCATAAACAAGAGCAAGGGCCAGTTTTTCTTATTAATTATATATTTTTTTGCCATGAAATATCAGAAAAATAAATTCACAAATATAGAACCTGATCATTTCTATTACTGACTAGACCCAAGACCATTCTGTATTACAAAAAAAATCTGCAGATGGACTATAATAATTTCACATCTGGATTAAATAATATTGGCCTATAACATTGTAATGTCATCAGAAACCCGGCAGTGTGAAAAAAACAATAAAACAAAACACTAAATAACAGATATGATCAGAGAGAATGCCCTTAACTTCTCATGGAAACAGTTTGTTATTGTGACTTAGACCTTTGATCAGGAGAGTCATGTAAGTAAGGTTTTGTAAAGTGATTGTACAATTGCACAAGGAGGAAGTTCTCTCATCCAAACTGACCCACTTTCATAAGTGCTGCGCCCTGTTACATAGAGGCTACACCACATTATTAAAATTTTGGTGGTAATTTCAGTGCTCATTTCGAACACTGATTACATAGTCAAAGGAGGTGGGTTGAAAGAAGTTGCCGATACGATACATACCTCGATACACAGGCCACGATACGATACATATCTCGATACAGTGCAGTTTCGATTCAATATACATTTCAAATCGATTCGATACAGTTCAATAAAAAATAAAGGCTAAATCATGGCTGTGACACTAAAAGTCTTTTGTTAAATCACTTTTTGTGCAAAGTTCATATGAAACACAAACATTTTAATCATCAAAACAGTGAAAATGTCAAATTTGTTGCATAAATGAGTTTCCTTTCACTCCACAAGCAACAAAACTGTAGCACTGTAACAAAATAATTTATTAAAACACACATAAAAATACTCTTGGTGATATATCGATACAGTAGCCCACGATATCGATACTGTATCATCACATTAAACGATACGATATATCGATATTCCGATATTTTTGCACACCCCTAGTTGAAAGGCCAAAATTGTGTTAAAGGTGCATTGTGTAACTTTTCCGGTGGAGGGAATTTTTTCTGTCTTCATGTAACCCAAACCAGACCAAGTTACAGGTGAGATCTGTGGAAAGATGACCGTGCTCACAGTCAGAATGTCTTTTTTCTAGGTATTTTTGAGCTATAAAACCACCTGTAATTTAATAACCGTAAGGTAGAGCTGTTTAATGTCATACTGTGGAACATTTCAGACAGAGAAATGACATATTCATAGAAAAAAGCAAGTGACAGACCCTTAACCAAAATGTTACACAGTTACTTAAGAGTAACATAACCTCAAAAATAATATTACTCAAGTAGAAGTATTTCAAGAAATCGACAAAAAGTAAAAAAGTATTTGGGAAAGCTACTATTCAGGTAAGAGTAACTGTCAGGACATAGCATCTTATTTATATTTTAAAGTTAATGTAGTTGGAAGGACAAATTTAATTAAAATTAAGAGCAAAATGTGGTATTTTCAAAAGATAGACACAAAAATGAGACAAACTAAATCATAATTGAAGGAGCAATGCAAAAAACACAAATGTTCAAATCATTTAATATTGTCCATATGGAGCTTTTGTCACTTTAGACTTACTCACAGTGGGAAGAGGAACCAAAACTTTTCTTCAAGTAAAAGCACTCTTACTTCACTTAAAAAAAAAAAATACTCCAATAGGAGTTAAAAGTACGCTGAAAAGTATTTCTCTGAAAAAGTTACTCAAGTAAAGGTAACTGAGTACTACACACCCACACATAAATTGTGAGGAAATATGAAAGTTTGCAATCTCAATAACAAATTATGTAAAAATAGTGCTGTGTTTGAAATGAAATTGAAAAGTTAAAGCCATACCGTGAAACATTCTCCATCTGCCGTACATACTGTGGAATATTATAGTTAGACCAAATGAGAGTCAGGTCTGTGGAGATGCAAGCCCGCGCACAGTCACACAACCAAAAACACAACAACAAAAAAACAAAAAATGCTTATAATTGTGTCTGTTTTTGGCCAAAAAGTTACATACTGTGACTTTAAAGATGCACTGCGCAACGTCAGTGGTCTGTCACTTACTTGTCTCCATGGTGATTTTATTGCTTTGCCTGGAATGTTACACAGTATAGCATTAAACATCTATATACCATCTCTTTAGTTATGGGTTTTTTTTAATTGCAAAAACACCACTGGGGTCCCCTCTTCGCAGACTTGACCTGTAACGTGGGTTAGTTACATCTCCATGATGATACATAAGTTCATAGTTATACTGTAGTAGATACCCAAAGCAACGACATCTCCATACAAGCAAGTGGTGGGCCCCCTAGCTGTTGAGTTATGCAGTGCACTTTTAAGATTCACTCATTTTTATGGTCAAAGATCTGCTTGTTTTTTATAATGTAGAAGTAGGTGTACTGTCGGTAAAAGCACAAGGTTTGGAGCAGATGGAAGAATCTGTATGAAGAAATTTGGCTATTCTTTATTTTAACAGATTAAAATGTCTTCCTCTTAATTCATATTTGAGGGGGGCCCATGTGATGCTCCTTGCCCCGGGCCTCCCAATTTTCTGTCGACGGGCCTGGTCTGCATTGGTTACATTAAGGAAATTAACATTGACTGACAGTTTTATCCATTTTTAAAAAGATAAAGTAAAATAAAATAGAAAATTGTCATTGCTCAATATGAAAATAAACAAAATTCTGATTATTTTTGGTCATACAGCCTTGCCCTACATAACAAACAGCCTTTCCAGAGGCATGTACCAAACGTGTGAAAAGGGGAGCTGCAATGTACATTTTAAGCCACCAGATGATGGCAAAACATACAACAAAATGGACACCAGCCACATGTAATATTTTCACCTTATAAAATGTAGAAATATTCTTTGTTTGCTATTGGGAATATCCTTCTAACAGTAAAAAAAGAACAAGATAGACTGTCCAGTTTCCAATTCCAGTATGAATCTAGCTTTGGATCTATGTTTTAATGTTTTCTCATCACAAACATACCCAGAGTTGTGTTTTGTTTCATTCACACATGTTTAACACACAAACCCTGCTTATTTAGGCTCATTTCTTCTCTCAAATGGAAAACACTCAACAAACAAACCTTGTGACGTCATGTGGTAATATAGCAAGGGGTCCACGGTGTTTTTAAACGCTATACACCTTCACTAAATGATTTGGACGATTTCAGCCCTTGGCATTGCAGATCCGTACACAACTAAAGGTAGCTGCTCACCTGAAAACCACCACTTCATGACATCACAAGGTAGAACTGAGCGTTTCGAGCTTTGGAGATGTAGACAGACTAATAATAAAGGATTACTCAACGTGTGTGAATAAAACAAAACACATTTCCAGGTCTGTTTTTGAGGAAGTCACAGCATTAAAGTAAATTTTGTCTAATATAGGACATTTAAGGAATAATATTTTCTCAGCAAAGACATATGTTGATGTAAAATAATAATAATAATATTTCAGATGCTGTAATTAAATTGTGTTGAGGTAATGCAGTGAATCCATTTGGAGGTTATCCTAATATAGCCCCACAGAACAGACTAATCCATTGTCTTATGTGATTATGTTTCTATTGTTATCCCAGGGAGACAACATGTGGAGCTATATTCATTTACCAAGTCAAACCAAAGTTACACTAACACCGAAACAGAAGCAAGACTGTTGGAGTGTCTTGCCTGATGACACAACAGTATACACAGTAGAACTCTACACTTTTTCCTTTTTTTTTTTAACTGTTTACTGTTGACCAAAACGTATTTTTAACTTTTGATTCATGAAAGTGTCCACATTTGGCAGATATAACAGCTGAACCCACTCGTGGCTCGTTCGTTTTACAATAGAAATCAAATATTCTTCAGAAAGTTCTTCCCAAGTCTGTTGCAGAAGTTCCCGTAAATATGTGGCACTTGTAGTTTGCTTCACTCTTCTGTCCAGTTCATCCCAAAGCAGCTCGACGGGGTTTAACTGCTGGACACTCCATGTTTTCAAGTTTACCATCTTGTTCTTTTTTCCTGAGGTAGTTTTGGTCAGAGCTTGGACTTTGGACTGTTTTGTTATCTTTTATCTTTTTTTTTTTTTTTAACTTCTGGCTTTTCACTTCTTACCTTTGTATCATTTCAAGCTCTTCATTGGAGTTGCACAACTTCAATTGCAATAAATAACTGGAAAAATTAAGGTGTTTTGACAACTTTTGACCGGTAGTGTTGATGGTATGTTTTCCTTTGAGATGTTATTGCTTTGTCTGGAATGTTTCACAGTCTGGCATTAAACCTTTCTATCTTCATGGAGACCAGACCAGACCAAGTTACAGTTTAGATCTGTGGCGAGGAAACCCAATCACAGTCAGAATGCCAGTTTTTCTAGGTTTTCTGAGCTTTAAAACCACTTATATTTTAATAAATGTAAGGTAGAGCTGTTTAATGTCTATACGCACTTTTTGACTCAATAATTTCTGATATAATCAAACAAAAACAAAAAAATACATGCTTTAATATACTAGTGAAAACCAGAACTAAATCAGGACTAATTTTGGACTTCATTATCATTAATACAATTTTAAAAAGTACAATTTCATTATTGATACTTTTGCAATATTTTGTGTATTTAAGTATGAAGGCAGCTCAGAAACTGTGCACTATGTAACTTTTCTGGTGGACTACTTACTTGTTTCCATGGAGATATTGTTTTGTCACAGTATGGTATTAAAAGGCCGATATTACACTGTTTTCTGATCTAAGTTATAATGTTATTTCCTCCTCACAAACACACCTGGAGTTGTGTTTCTTTCACACATGTTTAACACACAAACTCTTCTTCTCTCAAACAGAAAATACTCCGTTCCACCTTGTGATGTCATGTGGTAATACAGGACGTGCTTCTTTGCGCTTTTAAACTCCATACACCTTCACTAGAAGCATTTGGATGATTTCAGCCCTGGAACTGCCAGTCTTTGCTGAACTAAAAGGTAAAAGTTTGCTGATGACATGAAATTTACCACTACATGACATCAGCTAAAAGCTCACAAGTTCATTTTGCGTAATATAGGAGCTTTAAAACTAGCCAGACCTTCCTTGTTCGCGCACCGCCGCTTGAGAATCTCTGCCTTAGTTCCTAAATAGGCCACTCGGCTATCATCTGTGCCTTCACAATATGGCACCCACCCCAGCCACACTGCACAGCTTGGGCAGTGTGGCCTCTGTTTCTTCTCCATCTGCTGGTCGGCTGCTCCTTAGATCAACACTCACTCACTTTTTCTCTCTCTGTCTCTCCCTCTCTCTGTCTCTGTCTCTCCCTCTCTCTGTCTCGCTCTCGTTATATGGGGCAATGTCGAACGTCTTCACCTCATTCCGGTAGCCGCTGTGCGTGCCACCGTTGTCATTCAGGTTATATTACTTTGAAAGGAGTGGCTAATCCTCACAGCAAATAAGTTCTGTAGAGTTGTTAAGTGCGATGTCGTCACTAGTGGAATGTAATGACGTAAACTTAGTGAAGTACTGCAATTAAGGGTATCTGAATCTGTACTTTTCTTAACTTTTTACATTTACGTTACTACATTTGAGAGCAGGTATTTGTAGGGGTCTCAGAATCAAAGTGTGCAATAATAAATCCACATCTATGACAGTCCGTAGTTTGTGTGTTCAGCTGATGCCAAACAGATAACAACCAAAACCAAACCAAACTCTGCCAAATCCTTCTCCTCCTCTGTTCAGGAACTGCTCATTAAAAGTGTAGAGTCATTTATCAAAACAAGCAGCACGTGCGCCTCGCCTTTCATATGAAATGCCGCTGCGAAAACAAAAGTGACACCTGAGCGTGTGTGAGTTCACGTGAGGATCAGCTGTGGCTCTGGTTCATTTCCATGCGCATTTGTTTTGTTATACCTGAACACCATAAAGCCTAGTACTATATTTTAAAAATATGAATTAACATAGTTATAACATAATTCAGTGCTTAAAAAGTATTTTATTAATAATATTGGTAATTAATTTACACAACAAATACAGGCACTGAAAAAATTAAAAAGTAATGGTTAAAGCAGTGTTTCCCACACTTTTTTTCTAGAGACCCATATTTTAAAAGTCACAAACCTTTCGCGACCCAAGTCAATAGACATTATTCGTAAATCACAAAATAAATTTGTGACCATTATTGAACATTAATGAGTTTATTTTATTGTTGACTGAGTGATCGTGTCTCTGAACAATTAGTATTACTCAAGTTTTAAACAATGAAAAACAGTAATTAGTGTTTCCCACAGAAAATTGGTTAGGCAAGGCGGTGCTGCAGAAGAAGTGAGAAGTGGGGGGTTGCGTGGAGACTTTGGGAAACAATGGGTTAAGGTACTAGTATAAAAAATAAAAATAAAAATCATAACTGTTCTCAGCCCTAGTTATGATTTGACAAATAGAAATATATGATAACACTAGGGGTGTAACGATATCCAAGTCTCACGATACGATATCATCACGGTATGAATGTCAGGGTATGATATTTATTGTGATATCGTGGGAAAGCTCACGATATGGTGGGGAGGCTCATGATTATGAATTAAAAAGTCACTTTCACTGGACAAAAATTAACCTTTCCTGAATAGTTTTAGAATGATTTTGAGCTGTAACAGAACAAGTATAAGAGCAAATAGACTTAACTAGTATATGACCATGGACCACTGTGGAACCTAGGGAAAATACTATGATTTAAAGGTGCATTGTGTGACTTTTCTCCATGGAGATGTTATTGTTTTGTCTGGAATGTCTCACGGTGTGGCATTAAACCTTTCTATCTTCTTGGAGACCAAACTAGGCCAAGTTGCAGGTCAGATCTCTGAAGAAGCAACCCCGCTCACAGTCAAAATATCTGTTTTTCTAAATATTTTTAATCTATAAATACACCTGTAATTGCATAAATGTAAGGTAGATCTGTTTAAAGTCATACTGTGGAACATTCCAGACAGAGCAATGATGTATATATACATAAAAACAAACAGGAGAAGGACCCCCAACCAAAAAGTCACACCTTTAATGTTGAAAATCACATTCTATTGTATAAAGAAGTGTATTTTTTGTAATTTTTTTATCATCACTGTATAATATTTTCATACACTGACTACACTGGGTCCAATTCAGCCTTACACTTTAGATCTGGGCTAGTTTAGGCTGAGTCACCACTACCACCACCACCACCAACTGGGCTGCTCCGTGGCCACATGCTGCCCAACCACATGTCTCCGCGGTCGGGACGAGGCGGACAGGTGGCTAGGGTCAGGCCTGGGTGTCTTATCAATAGCCATGTCCCAGTTTCCATTGTAGACAGTCAGATGTGGCCTTATTTGCTGAGATGGGGAAGATATTTTTAATTGAATGCAGGAAAACAAAAAAGTTCAGAGATTAAGCTTTTGCAGACAATCTGGTCAAAACTCAAGCTTTGTTTTGCCATCGATAGAGATGGGCTGATATGGATTTTTTTAATGTATTTATTTTATTTTTTGGAGATGATAAACGATATTTGCCAGGGATGTAATGATATCCAAAGCGATACAATATTTTCACAATATGTTATGATATTTGTTGTGATATTTTGTGGACAAAGTTGTGAATATGCTACTTTTCTCTCGTCATAATCTGAATAATTAAGGTTTAAAAGCGCTTAATAACTTATTTGAGCATGTAGATTGGACTGAAACAGAACAAAGGATCGTGGTCTATGTAGTTCTCTGTGTTTTAGCAAAGAACCATGAATGAATGAATGAAGAACAATGAATTTAAGCAAAGAAAATTGTAATTACATATATTGTGATAGCTCACGATATTATTGTGAGAGTTTTGACGATACGATATCACGATATTACGATCATTGTTACATCCCTAATATTTGCCGATACCGATATTTAGCTTTAAAACCCCATAGCAAGTACCACCTAGTGCCTCTGTGCAATTAAATTTTTCTCTCAGCGACTAGGAATTGGAATACACTAGACTGAAGAAGAACCCCGGAAGTGCAAGTTCGGGCATCAGACAATCAGTGAAGAGCCATACAATCTGTGTTAGCAACGATTCCCAAGATCGAGGATTTAAAACCGGAACAAAGAGAATGTATGGTGAATTTTATCACGGGGAAAGACGTCATTGTCCTTCTTCCAACGGGATTTGGGAAAAGCTTAATATACCAGTTAACCCCGTTACATACGTCACGACAAAATAGCAGCGACCAGTTAAATAAAAAAAGTACCCGCCTACCGTTGAGCGAACAAATTCTAACGCTGCGAGGTCAGACGGTTTCTACGAACTGAAACCGGCTGATGAATCAGGTTACATAGCAAGGCCCACAAATTGATCTTTAATATGAAGTTTGAAATTTAATACAGATTTTTTCCTAGCTGTTTTTATTTGTATATTTTGTTTGCTTACACTACAAATGTGAAAAAAATAAATAAATAAAATACCTCCTCAAGCGCTTCAGCAGGTCTCAAATTATAATAAAAAAATACTTTTACTTTTCAGTCCTGTTCAAAAATTTTGTGAAGTAGAAAGTACAGCTGCTGTCCCTCAAACGTATTGTAAGTAAAAGTAAAAAGTATCCAGCTCTGCCTTACATTTATTCAGTTACCCTCCGCTGCAGTTTTTAGGCCAGAAACCCAGACAGTTACCAAAACCACTACGTATTTTAACAAGTGCGCAAATAATCCAAGGAAAGATTATAGGTGTGATTGAAAACACTGACCCGCATTCGTCATTTGTGCAACAATAATTTAGTTTTGTGAATGACTTTCCTGGCACACAGCAAAATGACATGACCCCATTGTTTGACTTTTCCATTCATTGAGCTGTTGTTATCCAACCTAGCTGGCCGTGTGTGTACGCTGTGGGGTCAGAGTCATTTTAGTAACTGGAGTAGGTGTAAAGGGGTGTTCACACGAGAGCGTCAAAAAACGCCATAGACACCTGTATTTAAACACTTTTGCATTTGAGTTTAGATGGAGAAAAATACTTGACGCGCGTCCGTTGCCCTGGAAACAAGTGCCTGGTCCTGGTCCTTTCCCCGAAACGATGTCAGACCAGACTGAGAGAGACTTTAGTGTTTTTATGACATAAAACCATCGGGTCGACGACTGGGGCGTATATATATATATTTATACTCCCCTAATGACACTGGATCAGTCCCAGTCTAGTCCCGGTCTAGTCCCGGTCTAGTTCCCGGTCCGGTTCTGGTATAGTCCTCGCGATAAGCTCGGTGATTGTGGGGTATATATTTTGTTTGTGGCCCTCGTCCTGGTTCTCGGGTCTTTCTTCCTGATAATAACATCGCTGCGTCGTCCTCGTCCCTGACTGGTTGGTGCGGCGCGTCTAACGCGAAAAGTTCAACATTTTCAACTTCTGATGCGATGCCTTGTCTTGTCTAAAGCGTCAACGCCAAAACGCTCTAGAGGAGCCGCGTCGACGGCAGATTCGGGCTGCGCTGACAACCGAAGATGCGCCGCAAAAATGCAGGACGCCCTACATGCGCGTCCACATAGACTTTACATAGAAACTCGACTCTTTGACGCGCTGGTGTGAATGACGCTTAAAGGTACTAAATATTTTTTTTTATTTGGTGTATTTCCTATTTGGCCAAAAGAAAAAAGAAAATGAAATTGCACTTTGTACCTACTTACTACTTTGGGTAGTAGTAGTAGTAGTAGTAGTAGTAGTTGTAGTAGTAGTAGTAGTAATAGTTGTAGTAGTAATAGTTGTAGTAGTAGTAGTAGTAGTAGTAGTAGTTGTAGTAGTAGTTGTAGTAGTAGCAGTAGTGTGGACCATCACAATATATGGAATTACAAGTCTCTTTGCTTAAATTCATTGTTTTGGTGCTACAATAGCTAAAAAAAAAATAGATGGAACTACATAGACCATGATCCTTTGCTCTGTTTCCGTGCAGACTTTATGAAAAAATAACCGTTTAAGCACTTTTAAATCTTAGTTCTATGGATTATGACGGTACCAAAGTTCTCAAAGTAGCATATTCATAATTTCGTTAGCCTCCACAAAATATTCCAATGAACATAGTAAAGTGAAATACATGAAAATATTGTACCTGAGAGATTCAGATTTTATTACATCCCTATTTGACTGGCATCTTCAACTCACAGCAAGAAGGTTCCAGTTTTCAGCCCAAAACATGCACAACAGGTCAAACCTTAAAGTAGACCAGAGCTCAAGAACAGTGACGGGTCCCTGGGCACTGAGTGGTTGCCTCCGTGGCATTAAAGGATGGGTCAAATGTGGGTCAAATGCAAAAAAGTATACCTAAAAAAAAACTAAAATACAGTATGTAGAAACGCTGTGCAATTAATTGAATTTTTATTGTGATTTTGATTTGTGTGGCAAACAATCTCCAAACTCATATAATCGAGTTGAAACGATAAAGCTTGACAATGTTTATTTTGGGAAATTTTTTATATAAATAAGTATATTTATTTTGTTTTTTAAATACGGAGATTATAGAACAGCTAGATATATTGTTTATTTTGGATGTATTTATGTTTTTCTATGCGTTATTTCATGTTCAGAGTATATTTTATTCATTTTTTGTTTCATACATCACAAAACTGTAGGAACATATTTGTAGTCTAGGTTTATTTTCGAGAGGGAAATGCTGAATAAATGCATCGTGTCACTAAAAAAATAATCGTTTGAATAATTGTGATTTCAATATTGACCCAAATAATTGTGATAATTATTTTTTCCATAACCGAGCAGTCCTAGTATGTAGTGCATCGTTAGTAGTAGTTTGTAGTTTCTAGTGGCAGTTCGAATCCTGCTCTCGACATAAACATCATTGGTAGATCCGCTGGCGATGTTGGTGGTCCGATTCCAGCTCCCAGTAATGAATGCTGTTGACGAGACACGTAACCCAGCTCACGGAGAACATATGGAGCTGACGAGGATTTACGCTTTTGTTAATGAAAAAGTAGCCTGAGCCAAAGCGTGTCTCGTAGTTTTCCTCAGGTTTCACAGGTCCATTGTCTTTCTCCATCTCGCTGTGTGTGTGCGATGTCCGCTCCTCCTCCCGCTCTAATCCAGCCCCAACACCTCACCTTTTCACCTCTTTGTCTCCTCTGGCACTTCTGATCCTTATAATCCAAGTTACGGAAAATGAACGACGATTTTGTCACGTAACCACAGTTGTAGTTGTATTTTGCACTACTATATTTTGTAGAAAAAAAAGCTTATAACCTGACTTTAAATTAATCGATTGTTTAAATGATCAATCTTTCTTCAGTGAAGCAAATTTATTTTAGTATATTGAGCATAATTTGGGAGGGTTTTAGCTTTCATATGAGACATTTCTAAAACCAATCGATTAATTTAAAGTCAGGTTATAAGCTTTTGTTTCTACAAAATGGATAAGTGACAAGACTTTTGTCAGGGACTGTACTGTGTTTTCCTCTCGCCACAGTTGTGTATAAATAGCATGTGTTATTTCTGGCTGGGCTAAATGCGTCTTGGCTGTGATTTCCAAGAGATCATGTCATCTTTCCTTGGTGCAGATCTCTTTCTTGGCTCATGATGGGCGTTGAATGCAATGTTTTGTTGGCAGACATCTTGTTTCTGTAGTGGTTTGTAGTTTCTGATTGCTTTTCATGCATACATTAATATTCTGTCCACAAGATAATATCAAAATTGTTGTTTTGAATTGGAATGGGCAGTATCTATGATGTCAGATAGTTTTCCCTCGTGTAGCCGTGGGTCTAATGATGAAAATTGAAAACTGACATAATAAATCTGATTACAAAAAGAAATTGAAGTGTAATCTTTAGGGATGTAACGATATCTAAATCTCTCGGTTCGATATTTTCACGATATACATCTCACTGTACGATATTTATTGCGATATTTTGTGGAGGCTAGCAAAACTGTGAATATGTTACATTTTCCTCTTAAAATGCCTTGATAAGACTTAATCCAAAGAACTTAGATTTAAAAGTGCTTGTAACTTTTATTTTTTCATGCAGTCTGCCCTAAAACAGAGCAAAGGATCATGGTCTATGTAGTTCCTTTCTGTTATTTTTAGCGATTGCCACACCAAAACTATTCATCTGTCCACGATATTATTCTGAGACCTTTGACGATATCATGATAGTTCGGTTATAGTTACATTCCTAGTAATCTTACATAAAACGTTAGTGACTTTTCAGCTATTTAGTAGAAGTCGTAGTTGTAGTTAGGCCTGTGACAATAACCAATAAATCAATTAATCGCGTGATAAACTTTGAGGAGCTTGATAACTTTTCCAGCCGCGATCATTTCAATTTACATGCTCGTTTGTTTTCTTCATCTCTCTCTCTGTTTACCAAAGAGACAAAAAGCTTCTATCGCTCTCTACTGACTCCTCTCGTTTCCTTAGTGAATGCTTGAATGAACATGCCAATTAGGCTACTTGCCGGCATAGACTGTATGCAAAAGTGGACTAAGCGAGTGTGACCTCAATGAAGCTTGCGTTGCTGATGGTTACCGGGTGAATTTGGAGCCAGGCTTTATATTATGAAAAGGATTTTTTTGACGGACAAAATATAACTGTTATAAAACACTTTTAAATCTTAGATCTATGGATATGATTTTTATGTATATTTTTGTCAGTATTCTCCACCGCTACACCCTTGACTTATATTAACATTTTAAACTTTTTTTTTTGTTTTCTTTTTGCAGTAAATCATGGCTCCAAACTCCATCCACTGGTTCAGAAAGGGGCTGCGTCTCCATGACAACCCGGCGCTGCGGGAGGCGGTCCGAGGGGCGGGGACCGTGCGCTGCGTCTACTTCCTGGACCCATGGTTCGCCGGCTCCTCCAACGTCGGAGTCAACAGGTGGAGGTAAGAGGGACCGTGATGAATTTCTGTATGCTTTTTTGGAAATCTTATGCATGGTTGAAGGTCCATTATGTAACATTTCTGGTGGAGGGTCCATCAAATGCTTTTCGTCAGAGATGTTATTGCAGGAGTGTCAAACTCAAATTCACAGAGGGCCAGGGGGCCAGCTCTAATACATATTTGATATGATCTCGCAGGCCAAATATAATTATATCGCAGGCCAAATTTGGCCCCTGGGCCTGAGTTTGACATGTCTGTGTTACTGCTTTATCTGGAATGTTTCACAGTATGGCATTAAACCTTTCTATCTTCATGGAGACCAAACCATACTAGGTTACAGGTCAGGTTTGTGGAGAGGCAAGCTCACTCACAGTCAGAATTAGGGCTGGGTATTATTAAGAAGTTTCTGATACGATACATAGGCCACGATGCGATACAAATCTCAATACAGTGAGCTTTTGATTCGATATGTTATATTTAAAATCGATTCAATAAAAAATCAAGGCAAAATCATGGCTGTGATACTAAAAGTCTTTGTTAAACCACTTCTTACACGAAGTTAAACACAAGAATTTTAAGGTGAGGAGAAAATTCAGTTTGTCAACTGGACAAAAGTTAGTTTGGTTGAAGACGTTTCGCAGCTCATCCAAGCTGCTTCTTCAGTTCTGGTCAGATTGCTGGTGGACACTTCCTTATATTTTCAGGGAGGAGCTAACTAAATGAAACTAACTTGTTTACAGTTTCTGTTAGTTAGTTCGGCCTATTGACCTGTGCAGGGTGTGAGGTCTAATTAGTATAACAGTTCATGGCCATAATGGAGCTTTCACACCTCTGGACCTGACCTGGCTACACCTATTGTTCTCTTGTTTGTTTTGATTTAGGTTTGAGGATGGAGCTGTAAATAGGAGACAGATGGTGTCTGAGTCCTCCATTTCTTTTTAGAGAAGGATTCTCTTTCTTAACAAAAATGGCTTCTTTCACTCCCCTCTCAAACCAATTCTTTTCTCTGGCAAAAATCTGGGTTAAGCATTTTAACCCTCAAAACAGTGAAAATGTTAAATATGTTGCATAAATGAGTTTCCTTTCACTGAACAAGCAACAAAACTGTAGTGCTATAACAAAATAATTTAGTCAAATATACTACAAAATACTCTTGGCGATATATTGATAGAGCAACCCACGGTATCGATACTGTATCATCGCATTCAATGATACGATATATTGATATTTCGAGTCAAAATGTCTGTTTTTCTTGGTGTTTTTGAGCAGTAAAACCGTCAGTAATTGAATAAATGTAAACCAGAGCTGTGTAATGTCGTACTGTGGATTATTCCAGGCAGAGCAATGACATATCCATAGAAACAAGCAGGTGACGGACCCCCAACCACAGAGTGTAACTTTTAATCAATAAATGAAAACAAAAAGATAAGAAATAGGAATGTTACTAGAGGTTCGTTCAAGTCCAAGCATTAGACTAGTCACATACTGATTATTTGTCACATAGAATCCTTGTAGTCAATCCCTATTACGCTGATGCATTGAACCAGAGTCTTTGGATGTGCGAGGCAGGGAGCCAGGCGCACACTGGATTTCATTTTCTTTTCCAACAAAAGCAACACAAGTGCTCTGAGGCTGTGAGTCACCTGCTTTTTCCTTTTGGTCGAAAAAAAAAAAGTCCATCTGAGGTTTCTGAATGCTTTTTTGCGCTGTTTTCTTCAGACTGTTACTGTAATGGATCATGGGAGTGGTTTGAATGAGTCATAAACACCTCTATACACTGCGTAAAACTGTTTTTGAGAGATTTAAATTTACTTAGTTATGTTCAGTGTGTTTCGAGCAGGTTTAAGGTTTTTAGTTACCATATTTTTCGGACTATAAGTCACACTTTTTTCATGGTTTGGGTAGTCCTGTGATTTATACTCAAGTGCGACTTATATATTAAAATATATAATTTCAGATGTTTGTTATTTTCACACTGACAGCTTCGAGAGGGCGCTCTAGGCTTGTGTGCCAGTATCTGCTACTATTATTACTCCTGTCCTATACTGTACTTGGGGCTCTACTGCACATGTCTCCTGCAGAAAGAGCCGCTGTCCTGCTGCAAGTAGTGAAATATGCACCCAAAAACGGTAATCGAGCAGCAAAAAGAAAGTTTGGAGTGTGCGAGAAACTTGTGAGGGACTAGTGAAAAACGGAAGATACTCTAACTACAATGAAGAAAACATAAAAGCTAATGGCGGGCTAAAAGATAGAATTAGCTAGAGTTGGTGGAGTTGGTCAGAAGTGACACCGAGGATGGAGAAGGATTTAGAGATTTGGAATGAGATCAAGAGTTTGGTAAATTTGTTCTGTTCTGTTGTTTATGCTATAGTTAAATATGTTAGGTGAAATGTCTGTTCTTGAACTCTGATTTTATAAAACAAATTTCCCCCCAAAAGTGCGACTTATAGTCCAGTGCGGCTTATGTTTTTTTTTCTTCTCCATTATGCCTTTTTTTGGCAGGTGCGATTTATAATCCGGAGCGATTTATAGTCCAGAAAATACGGAATACTAGGGAGTATACTAGTTGTACAAGTGAGGACAATATTTGCTTTTCTGAGTATCACCAGAGCTAAAGCATAAGGTTCGATGGCTGTTAGAATGTATCTTCACAAATCACTGTGAATTAATGACAAAAATGATCCAATTGTGGTATCTAATTATTATTAACTTGCAAACAACTACAGCAACTTTGTATGAGTAAAAGCTTAAACATTATGGCCTACATCAGCCAGTAAATAGTCTAATTACAATAAACCAGTGTTGTTCCAATACCATTTTTTGGGATCCAATCCGATATCGATACTTGGCCTTGGGGTACTCACCCATACCGATACCATTCCAATACCATGGTGTGAAGAAGTACACTTAGGCTATTTAATTTTGTAACATACAAGAGCAAAAAATACATCTTCTAGAAAGCTATTTTTAAAGAAATGCAAGAAGTTTGAGGATTAAAATATTAGTGAATTGTATATTGATCTTGAGATAAGTAGCACTTTGACTTTCTACTACAGTGCAGATAAAAAACAACAGTGAGGCTTGTAAAAAGACGCTCTTCCTTGAAACACATGGCTAATTATGCAGAATATACAAAGTCGGAGTTAGTGCGGTTGCTGCTGCACTCTCTCTGTTATTTTCCCAAGTTGAGTGTGCACACCAAAGGTAACACAAATGTCTTTTCTATTATTATTAATGTGTTTTAAACCTCCACAGTCTGTGTTTAAACTGCTTTGGGCAAACAGAGGTAAACAGGGGCGGCTCCCCTTTACAGGGTCCTCATTCAGGAAAATACATCGTGGTATCAGATTGGTGATTCGCTGATACCGATACCTGCAAAATGTGTATCTGAGCTTTTGCCGAACAACCCTTCATTAAACTAAAGGCCCAACCGGGATATCGATATGAATCAATGTCATGGGATCAATATCAGATCCAGCTAAATTTTGAGGGATAGATTTTATTTTGATCTTATTACACGTAAATTACATACAGTGTTGGGGAGTAACAGATTACATGTACTGGAGTTACGTAATCAGAGTACAAATTATGAGTAACTGTATTCAGTTACAGTTACTGTTTCAATGAGTGGTAATTGGATTACAGTTACTTTGTTGAAATAAATGGATTACACGGTGGTATTTTCCTGTTTTCACATTTTGGGCTATATCCACCCCCCCCTTTTTTTTTTCTCAGTAATTCCACTCATTGTTGGAAATTAAAGGGTCTAAACTAGATCTAAACTAGGTCTAAACTAGGTCTAAACCAGGTCTAAACCAGGTCTAAACCAGGTCTAAAACAGGTCTAAACCAGGACTAAACCAGGACTAAACCAGGACTAAACCAGGACTAAACCAGGACTAAACCAGGATTTAACAGGACAAAACTATCAATAATATTTTTAATACGCTTCAGTAAAGTCTGGTCTTTTTATTTTCTTTTAGCAGACAAAACATCTTATGTTATGATATCCTAGTCTTTGCTTCTCTACAGCAAATCAAGTAATCCAAAGTATTCAGATTACGTTACTCACTTTAAGTAACTTAATGGATTCCGTTACAAACTACATTTTGGGGTATGTAATCTGTAATCTGTAGGGGAATACATTTTAAAAGTAACCTTCTCAACACTGGTTACATATATACAATATTTGCATTTACATGGTCAAAGCTCACATAGTAGGTTTGCTACATATTTACAATACAGTGGCTAATTTACATAAACAAAATGACCTGGATTTGCGCTGATACCTGATACCAGCATTGTATTGGCGCATCCGTTTTGCTCACATTCAACACAAAACAATGCTACATGTTTTTGTCTTTGTTATTAAAATATACTGTGATGAGTGAGCTACTGTGTCCAAATAATTTCCCTTGTATCAATAAAGATTATCTATGTCTAAAAAACAAAACAAAAAGATTGGTCAGTTTTAGGTTTTTTATAGGGCAATTTTAGTGTCAGTGGAGCAAATCAAGGACATACATGAGATCAAACCCTCTCTGTGGAGAGTAGGGATGGGCATGATTAGTTGATTAATCGATAATTGATCATTAAGAATTTCATCGATTACGTTCATTTTAATTGACAAACCGAACGTAGGTTGCTGTGTGTAGTGTGACCAAACAGGGGTCCGTACATGTAGCTCTCTGCACTCAGAAGGCGCCAGCAGACACACACAGAGTCGGTCAGCCTGCAACGTATCGAAGCACAAATGTGTATTTAACGATGACTTGTACAAGAAATTCCAGGCTTTCCGTTGCGTTTGGGACAAGTGTGAGTCCATGTGCACAGTGTACAAAGCAGCACATACGTTTCGGTGTCCAGTGGGAAAAAGTTTTGCCAGGTGAGAGTCGCGCAATGTCGATGACGAGCTCCCACCTCTCACCCCCCGTAAGGTGTCCTGGTTTTGACAAACGCAAATATGGTCACACTAACATATATTCCACTGAGTCTGTAGGTGCA